AACCCTGCCAAGGCCCTTCTGCCCTTGCATTAGCCCTGATACCTGCCTCTTGTTTGGAGGGACCAAGGCTTGACCTGCAGAGTAGCCTACCCCTTCCCCTCACCACACTGTTCCTGTCTCTAAGTGGTCTACCTCAGTTGGGTGGAGTGGGGGGTGGTGTGTGTGCCTAAGGGCTTGGCCAGGGCATTAGCCGTGGTCAGTTGTGGCCACTGGATCTTGGGCCAAGCCTCACTGCTCCTTCCTCAGCCCTCATCCCAGGAAGGACAAGATGCTCAGCTCAGGAGAGCAGGAAAGGCCCTCAAGGCCTGTCCCCTAGCCTCAGGCCCAGCCCCCACATCCCATACCTATCTGTTCTCACCTTGGACTTCGGCAGTAATGGAAAGCCAGGCTAGGTGTTTGCTTTGTGAGGGCAGAGGTCAGTGGCCCTGGCCTCTGCCCCTTTCCTGCCTAAGGGGAGCCTGGCCTTTGCACTGCTGGGGGGACAGGTGGAAGAATTACAGAGGACTGTGTCCTTGGTCCCTGGGAGCTGAGGGTGTGGGAAGTGAAGGCTGGTCACGGCAGTGGTGGAGGGTGGGTGTTAGGCTGGGATGGGAATCACGGGGAAATCCGAGGAGCCCAGAGTGAAGGCTAGTGCCCGCAGTGCCTGGCTGCATGGGGAATCAACTGGAAGCCAAGCTGGATAAACCAGATGTGGTGAACTGGATGTGCTACCGCAAAACGGAGGACTTCTTCACCATCTGGCTGGATATCACTATGTTCCTACCCCTTGGAGTAGACTGCTGGATCGATAACACCAGGTACGGGCCACCCTCTCCGCCCCAGCTCCCTCACCCTGCCTCGTGGTCGCTGACCTGCTGACTCTCCCCTTGTCTGCAGGGTCGTCTACAACCGCAGCTCAGGGAGCGTGTCCAATGCCCCCGGTGTAGAGATCCGTGTCCCTGGCTTTGGCAAGACCTACTCTGTTGAGTACCTGGACAAAAACAAGCTGGCAGGTGTGTGTATACTGGGGAACAGGGAGGGGCTCCAGGCTGCGGTGGGCCTGGAGGAGCCATGGCCAGCGCCCTGATGCTGCTGCCCCCCACACACACACACAGGTTACATGAACACCCTGGTGCAGAACCTGGTCAACAACGGCTACGTGCGGGACGAGACGGTGCGGGCTGCGCCCTACGACTGGCGGCTGGAGCCCAGTGAGTGTCTCTGCAGGTGATGGGCTCGTGGCAGGGCAGGTGGCCCCTGACCCCCACTGCCCTGACCCAATTCACCCCCCTCTCTCCACAGGCCACCAGGAGAAGTACCACCAGAAGCTCTCTGGGCTGGTGGAAGAGATGTATGCCACTTATGGAAAGCCTGTCTTCCTCATTGGGCACAGCCTTGGCTGCCTGCAACTGCTCTACTTCTTGCTGCGCCAACCCCAGGCTTGGAAGGATCGCTTCATTGATGGCTTCATCACTCTCGGGGCTCCCTGGGGTGGCTCCATCAAGCCCTTGCTGGTCTTGGCCTCGGGTAAGATCCCCTGCACCCTTGTGGTAGGATTGAGGGATGGAATAAAGCTGACCAGGGGCCTGTGCTCACAGTGCCAGGTTGGGGGTGTTGTCCACCACCCATGGGGCATCGCCCTTGTCACTGAGCCCCTCAAGATCCTGGCCTGGACCATTAGAGTGGCTCCTGCCAGAATCTGTCTTAGTGATGAAAAAGTGAAAGTTTAACAGAAAATGAACCGAAGCAATCTGGCTCACTATCCCAGGTTTGTTCCTGTCGTCTCAGGTCCTACCCACCCAGCTTTCAGCTGCCTCTGCTTCCAGGAGCTCCTTTGCCCAGGGATATGCCCTACTGAAGACTGATTTGCCAAAGCCAGGGCCAGACCCTAGGAGCCCCCCCTGCCCTTCCCTGAGGAGTCGCATAGCTACCACCTGTTGTACACCCACTGTCTGCTGGGCCTAGCCAAACTCGGTCTTCCTATAGGGGAAAGAAGGAAAACCCTCTTCAGACTACATTAGTTAGTGTCAAATACAGACACGGTCTCGTTTCACCCTTCCTGACCCCTGTGCCCCATAGACTACGGGGCCAACAGATACTTGACTGAGAGAACTGCTAGTATTATCCGCCCCCCTTTGACATATACACATCTATCCTTAGAAAAACGCACCATCCTCCTTTGAGGCCCTACAGCTCTGCCTCACAGCAGTATCCAGGCTTATTTAACTAGGGGCCCAGTGCACAAATTCATACACCTTGAAAGGAACAGTGAGCTGTGAGGTTGTGGTAGGCACAGGGGTGGATTCTCAGCCCACTATTAGCTGCTCCCACTTCAGCCCCTGGTCCTAGTCTGCCTCCAGCCCCTCTCCTGCCACTGTTCTTCCCATGCACTGACAGTGTTGGCCCTGCTCGTACCCACTGATGGCAGTCACCCCTCAGGAGCAGGGAGAGGTAGAGAAGCTCTCAGGGGCGATCGGGGCCGGCCCTGGCGCCTGCAGCAGGTGTGAGTGCCAGACAGGACTGTGGCACGTGGGAACAAAGAATTTTAAGTGACCACCAGAGGCTCACCCCAATATCAGCGACTGGCACCCCGCCTTGGTCTGGTGCCCCCATTCATCTGCTTCACCATCCTGCCACAACCGATGCCCACCATGTTCCATGTGTGCCCTCTGGTAGTTGGCGCACATCATAGTGACCGGTTGTTCCATCTATTTGCATATTAGCCTTTTATTATATGGGACTAGGGGTCCAGCATGCAAAATCCTTTGACACCCAGACCCAGAGTCAAGACCCACCGGCACCACAGGACGTGGCATCAGGTCACCTCCTGGTGACTGGTCTTTGGTCATTACGACCACTGGGTTTTTATTATATAGATAAGCACACGTTAAGTACCTACTGAATGCTGCTACACTTGCTCTAGTCTGGCTTGGAGTCAGTGTTTGGATTAGGCTGGAACAAAAATGAGAATCCAACTGACCTTGAGCTGGACAGCAAGTTGTAGGCCAGGCCCAGCCAGGTCTGACTCCCTGCCTACCTTGCTCCATGTCCACAGGTGACAACCAGGGCATCCCGCTCATGTCCAGCATCAGGCTGAAAGAGAAGCAGCGCATTACAACAACGTCCCCCTGGATGTTTCCCGCCCAGCGGGTCTGGCCTGAGGACCATGTGTTCATTTCCACACCCGCCTTCAACTACACGGGCCGTGATTTCCGGCGCTTCTTTGAAGACCTGAACTTTGAGGACGGCTGGTACATGTGGCTACAGTCACGTGACCTGCTGGCAGGACTCCCAGCACCTGGTGTGGAAGTATATTGTCTGTATGGCGTGGGTCTGCCCACGCCCCACACCTACATCTTTGACCACGGCTTCCCCTACACAGATCCCATTGACATGCTCCATGAGGATGGCGATGACACTGTGGCCACACGCAGCAGTGAGCTCTGTGCCCAATGGAAGGGACTCCAGCCACAGCCTGTGCACCTGATGCCTCTGAACGGGACAGACCACCTCAACATGGTCTTCAGCAATCAGACACTAGAGCACATCAATGCCATCCTGTTGGGTACCTACCGACATAGCACCTCTGAACCCACAGCTGCCAGCCCAGGGCCCCTGCCCCCTCAATAAAGATCATCCTTTGCTGCTATAAGCCTTGACAGTTTGTTGTGGGTTGACGGGGAGATGAGGGTTCACCCTTCAGGATTCATTATCAGCAGTTTCAGGCCTGGTGCCTTGTGGAGAACAGGGCAAGAGGAGCTTTGCTAAAACCTAGAATTGAAGTAGGTAACCTGAGATGTACAGCTTGCCACTCTCCTGCTTGAGCTCTTACGGCAGTCTGTCTCTGTGCCTGCTTCTGCTCTGGGCATGGGGACAGGTCAGCTGCACACACAGGTGTGGGATGGGGGCACATGGAGTCAAGGTTTTAGGATGGATAAGATCTGAGCTATCCCAACTTTCAAAAGGGCAGACAATTGGGGGGAGGGGGGGAAGGACACATATGTAATAAATTTAAAAAAAAAAAAAAAAAAGGCAGACAAGACCCCACCTCTAGACAGGAACTTTTCGTACAGGTGGGTGACAAGTACAAGAGATTAGAATCTGGGGGAGTGACAGCCACTAATCAGATCATTTAGCTAATGAAGATTTAATTATTAATGGAGGCAAGTAGTCTGAGAAGGGTAACAGGGGCCACTGTGAAGACTTGGGTTTGAGCCTAAGAGCAGTGTGCACTTGCTTTAACTAGGGAGAGTGTACCAGATTTCTCCTATGCAGGGTAGAGCTGCAGGGGAAGGTGGACCAGAAAGTATGGGGAAGCCAGAGTAGTAGCCAGGAGACGGGATGCCAGCTGAGACTAAGGCAGTAGTTAGATGAAAGATGTGGATAGACAAAGGGTCATCTGGGAGGTGAAATAAGACTTGGCCGTGGGTAGGGCCTCAGCATGCCTCCAAGCCACTAGATTAGGGGTGTCAAACTCAATCAGAGAAGGGGCCAAAATCTAAAATCCAGCCTAAATCGCGGGCCGAATGGTTTACTGAACAGTCATAAACTGTCATTGTGATGGAAACGCAGCGGAGTGCAGTGATGACAGCGCGGTGTGGGCCACATTGCAAGGCCTGGCGGGACGGATTTGGCCCGCGGGCCTTGTGTTTGACACATGTGCACTAGATGGACAACTACCAGGCCCCTGTTGAGAGAGGAAAGATAGCACCTGAGATAGGGAAGATGAAAGGACCAGCATGGTTGAGCCTCCATGCTGAGGTGTCCGGGTAGGAAACAAAGGGACAGAAGACAAACAAGGCGAAGGAATGAAAGGCATACGTTGGGTAAAGGAGGGTAACTAAGGACAATAGGCCATGATTGATGCTGTTGGGAGGCCTGTAATAAGGCAGAGTCCTTGAAGTTACCAGAGGCAGAAGTAGGAGCTCAGACTGAGAGGAGGAAGAGGAGCTGAACAATGGCCAGAAGGAAAGGATTTGTCCCTTTGTTCAGAGGACCTAGGAGCAGCTGGGAGAGCCAGGCAAGGTACATCATCCTCTTCACTAACTGTTTGGGACCAGATGTGAAAGTGAAAGAGAAGTAAAACAAGCCTGCGTCCTCTAAGTTGAGGTGAAAGAGAAAGCAGGAAGCGTCAGACTTGGAGCCCTGCAGAGAACAGGCCTCTGCGTTTCTTGCCCCTGTTGGTCCCACTCCTTTAACCATCGACCACCCAAGTCCCGGGACTGCCCTGGCCATCCGAGGATGCTGCAAACAGAGCTAGAACCCCGAGGGGGCTTCTCCTTCGAGAACTGCCAGAGGTGAGGTGGGGGTGGCTGATCCGGAGCTGCCTGTGCTTCCCATAAGGTCGTCTGAGCGTGGGAGCCCCGAGGGCCCCATATTCCTGGTGGCGAAGGGTACGAGGGGTGGGAGCACGTGAGAGGTAGATGGAAAGTGGTGGGCTTCTTGGGTTCCCAGGCTTACTCCGGGAGGTGAGGGAACCGGGACGGAGTTGGGGGGGGGATGTGAAGGGGACCCCAGAAAAGCCGAAACATGGCCTACTCTCTTCCATTTCCAGAAACGCAGCCTTGGAACGCGCCCTCCCGGAACTCCGGGTCCCTCACGCCCGCAAGACCGGGACCACCATCGCGGGCCTTGTGTTCCGAGTGAGCGTGGGGCTGGGGCTGGGGCTGGGAGGCTCAGAGAGGCGGGCGGGGTGCGGCCGGCATCGAGCCCACAGCCTGCTCCCCCCTCCCCAGGACGGGGTCATCCTGGGCGCGGACACCCGGGCCACTAACGATTCGGTCGTGGCGGACAAGAACTGCGAGAAGATCCACTACATCGCGCCCAAAATCTAGTGAGAATCCCCGGCCCCCATTCCACCACCCAAGAACCGCCCCCTCGTTCCCACCCCCGGTCCCGTCCCCCCAGTTTCCTCCCCTGCATCCTCTAGCCCCGCCCACACCGACCCTCCCTTCGCCCTCAGCTGCTGCGGGGCCGGAGTAGCCGCGGACGCCGAGATGACCACGCGGATGGCGGCGTCCAACATGGAGCTACACGCGCTGTCCACGGGCCGCGAGCCCCGCGTGGCCACAGTCACCCGCGTCCTGCGTCAGACGCTCTTCCGGTGCGGGGTTGGAGCGGCTGCGGGATGGACAGGGCTGAGGAGGCGGGGCGGAGCGGGGGCGGGGCTGCGAGGTCCCGGGACACCGGAAGTGGCCCGCGTGAGGCCTTGGGCAAGGGGAGGAGCGCCGTCATCCGGGGCCCCGCCCTGTCGCCGGAAGGGGCGGGCTAGAGCCAGGAGGAGGGGGTGGGGCCGGGATCTCCGTGCCGGCGGATAACCACGCCCACTCCGCGCTCAGGTACCGGGGCCACGTCGGTGCTTCGCTGGTCGTGGGCGGCGTGGACGTGACAGGACCACAGCTCTACAGCGTGCACCCCCACGGCTCCTACAGCCGCCTGCCTTTCACGGCGCTGGGTGAGCGGTTCTGCCGGGTCCCCACGAGCCCCGCCCCTGGGACCCCGGCTTCACGGCCGCTTACCTTAGATGCCCCTTACCTTAGATGCCCCTTCTGCCTGCAGGCTCCGGCCAGGACGCGGCCCTGGCGGTGCTGGAGGACCGGTTCCAGCCGAACATGACGGTGAGCGACACCTGACCCCCACTCCGTGGTCATTGGCGGGAAGTACACCCGGGAGCCGGGAGAGCGCAGAGGGACCCCTGGCCTGGGCTAGAGGTCAGGGTCAGGGAAGACTGAGGGGGCCAGTGGAGTGAGGGCGGAGGAGTGCTATTTTCCAACAGACCGCCGTCGGTGCCAAAGTTTTAGACTGCCGAGAGAGGTCAGAGTTCAGAGAGGACTGGGGCCGAGGGAGGAAATGGCAGGTGGGGTCTGGAATCTGTGTTTTGATTGGGGTGGGATGGAAGTGGATGAAGTAAGACCCAGAAAGAGAAAGATCCGGTGGGTTGGGGTCGTCCAAGACCACGTTGGTTGGGTGGATAGGCCACTGGAATCAGAGCCAGGAAAGTTTGTGAAGATGGGGACAGTGGGCAGTGGGAACAGGAGGGGCGTCTCTGTGGAGAGAGAGGAAGCAGACCAGGGAAGGGGAGTTTGGAGTGGAGATGGGGCACGGGGAGAGAGGAGTTTGGGTGTGAGCAAAATGACAAGCAGTCTGGGTTTTAAGATTAACAAAACCCCCAGGCTGTAGCCTGAGGGTGACACCAGAAGAGTCCATCAGACTTCACACACACACATATCCCCACAGCTGGAGGCTGCGCAGGGGCTGCTGGTGGAAGCCATCACTGCAGGAATCCTGGGTGACCTGGGCTCTGGGGGCAGCGTTGATGCATGTGTGATCACGGAGACCGGCGCCAAGATGCTGCGAACACTGAGCTCACCCACAAAGCCCATGGAGAGGTGGGAGCAAGAGGGTGTGGGAGGATGGGCTGTGGCAGGGAAGGTTAGGGGCTGCAAGGGGACAGGCCACATAATGGGCCCATATTGAGAGGCCGTTTTTCCTCCATCCCAGGCCCACCCAGTACCGCTTTGCCCCTGGGACCACAGCTGTCCTGTCCGAGACAGTGAAGCCACTGCCCCTACAGCTGGTGGAAGAAACCGTGCAGACCATGGAAGTGGAGTGAAGTCAGCGGAAGCTTAGAGCTTGGAACAGCAGAGAATAAACGCGGAAAATGCAGACACCTGAACAGATGGCTGTGTTGTTCTTGAGCAGAGGGTACTAGCAGCTAGCAGGATCTGAGGCTAGGCTAAGGTATCCCTGCAGGGGCCACTCCCTCAGACTGCTCCAGTGTCTGGTCACTGGACCTCAGCTCTGACAAGCATTGAAAACTCAAGGTGGAGCATTAGCTGGTTTGATTCAGTGAATGGTAGGGCCTGTGGACTGAAGGGTCCTGGGTTCAAGTCTGGTCAAGGGCACAATCCCAGTAGGGGGTGTGCAGGAGGCAGCCAATCATTGATTCTCTCTCATCGATATTTCTCTCTCCCCCCCCCTCCCTTCCTCTCTGGGGAAAAAAAAAAACAAAAAACTCAAGGTGGAAAGCCCCACCCTGACTCCACACCATAGAAGTCCGCCTGCCAATCCTACATCTGGTTCTTACCCTGTAGTTCACTGGGGATTGTTGTAAAACCCAAAAGTCCCCAGGTACTGCCCCCACATAGAACCTTTGCCTGGCTCATTGGTAGCCCAGGACAAAGCCTACATCTCTCAGTCAAGCCCCCTTCCCCATCGGATGCCACTGAGGGCTAAAGTGCTGATAGAGGCCCTAGTTGGCTCAGTGGATAGAGCACTGGCCTATGGACTGAGGGGTTGCAGGCTCCATCCTCAGGAGGTGGCATGCAGGAAGTGGCCAATCAATCCCTGATTCCAACAGAGCAGTCGTCACCCCGTCAGACTTTTAGTTGTGAAACCCCTCCAGTAACCAGGCACATCTGAGGTGCTAACATAAAGTTGGGTTGTAAGTAGGGGGAATGACTCCCAAGTTTTCTGGTTGACAGGGGTTACAGTGCTCTTGTGGGGACATATGACCCAACACATTTATCCAACAAGTCTTTGCAGAGCAGCCACTTTGCTAGGCCCAGGGTCTGAGTGCTGGTAGCAGCATCCTGCCCTCAGAACAGCTGAGCTCCATTGGAGCTTTGCAAAATGCCCTACCTCTGGGGAGGGTCTACTGTAGGCTGGACATCTATGGACCCCTGATTGTGCTCCCCCCTTCCCAACATTTTATTATGAATATTTTAAAACATAAAACTTGAAGAATTGTACACTAACAATATATACCCACTACAGACTTTACAATTAATATTGTTACATCTGCTTTACCATGTATCTATTCATCCATCCCCATGTTTAACCATTAACTCACTTTTTGAAACTATGCTCTTGAATTAGTTGAAACCCTCACACCCCCTAGGAAACCCACTGCAGCTTTGCACATAGGGGCCTCTCCTCTCTCTTGGGTCAAGCTGGACAACAAACAGGCTGTAGACACCAGGGCTTGCCCACGTGATCCCCAAGGCATGGAGATTGTCAGAGACTCAAAGACTGTTACCCTTCTACCAGTGTCCTCTGTACAGGGTTGGGTAGTCACCAAGGGTGCACACCTTGCCCTCCTTTGCTCCAGCCCCTTCCCAGGCATCATCATTAAGAGTGTGGTCTTCAGCCCTAGCAAGTTTGGTGCAGAGGATGGAGCACTGGCCTGCAGGCTGAAGGGTCCTGAGTTAGATTCCAGTGAAGGGTATGTACCTCTGTTGCAGACTCCCAGCCCTGGTCAGGGGCGTGCAGGAGGCAGCCAATTGATGTCTCTCTCACATAGGTGTTTCTGTCTTTCCCTCTCCATTCCACTCACTCAAAAAAAAAAAAAAAAAAATCATGGAAAAAACATCCAAAGGTGAAGGTTAAAAAAAAAAAAAAGTGGTCTTCAGAGCCAGACATGAAGGTTTGGATCCAAACACACCATGTGCTGGTGGGAGAGTCGCCATCTGTGTAAGCAACTGATTCCTGTTTTAAATGAGGAATGATTCACAACTTGCTAGAACCCCTGTCCTGGCCACGTGACCCCGGCTCTCTGCTGGTACAGCTGGACATTCCCTCCACCCGTCAGGAACACTCCGGGGTGCTGAGCAGGCTTCTCCGAGTCTGGTGCCTGTGATAAGCCTGGGGAACTTCCCTAACCCAGGCCACCAGGTGGTCACCATAGACCTAATTTAACCATAAGTCCTTAGGACCTAGTGCTCAGCACTTGGAATGGGAAGTGGTTCAGATAGTCAATCAGAGGCCAGGTTTTAGGGGATTGAGGGGGTATGAAACCCACATCTGGGCTCCTTCTGATAAGTCCAGGCTTGGATTGAGGACCTTGGCCCAGAGAGACCTTATTTTGGAATAGAGCGTGGGACAGGGCTGTGCCCCATACAGCTGGCCTGGCCTCATGCCTGGGACTTCAGCCCAAGGACGAGGAGATCCATAAAGCCAGGCTACCACCTCAGCCTCACGCCTGCCACAATGCTGCTGCTCAGTCTGACCCTTACTCTGACCCTGCTCGGCTCCTCATGGGGTGAGTAGGCCTGGACCATCCCCGGGTCCCAGCACCAGCACAGGCTTCCTGCCCAGGGGGCCAGGCTGGCTGGAAGGGAAGCAGGTGGACAGAGTGGGTAAAGGAAAAAGGACATGCCAAGATCATGAGGAAGCAAGAGATGGACAGGGGTTCAGTCCAGACCCAGGAGCTAGAGAAGGCTTAGGAAGCTGAGAAGTGAAGTTTGGATTGTAGTTGAGGAAGAGGCTCTGGCTGCATGGAGCATGGAGTGGGTAGAGGCCAGGATATTATCCTAGGGGTCAGGAAGAGAAGTGGCTGGGCTGGAGGGTGGGGATGGGATTGGGAAATGGTGGGGAATAGGTTGGAGAAATGGAGAGTGGACAGCAGTTGGGGACTGGTTGGTAGGAATGACTGAAAATGTGCAGGGGCCCAGAAGGAGCTCGGGGTGAAAAGGGATAGTGATGAGCCCTCTGGATTTGGACTCCTCTGGGGTGCAGAGCTGAGGGTATCTGGAAGGAGGATGGGGAGAGGTGGGCTGGGGTGTGGGAAGCAGGTCCTCATCAACCCAATCGCCAGGCTGTGGCGTTCCTGCCATCAGACCGGCACTGAGCTTCAACCAGAGAATTGTCAACGGGGAGGATGCAGTGCCAGGCTCCTGGCCCTGGCAGGTGTCCCTGCAGGTATATGCACCCTGGGGGTGGAACAGGATCCCAGGTGCTTCATGTCTAAGCAAAACCTGAGTTCCCCTTCCACTTCTGATCCTGACCCCAGGACAAGAACGGCTTCCACTTCTGCGGTGGTTCCCTCATCAGCCCGTCCTGGGTGGTCACTGCTGCCCACTGCAATGTCGTGTGAGTGCTCCCACTCCACACACCCCGCCCCAGCCCACCTCTCCCCACTTCCTTCCTCTAGATGCCCCTCTCTTATTGCTCTGCCCTCCCTGTAGCTGCCTAACCCCACTCTCACTGCAGCCCTGGCCGTCATGTCGTCGTCCTGGGCGAGTACGACCGGTCATCCAACTCTGAGCCTTTGCAAGTTATGTCCATCTCGCGGGTGAGTCCCCGGCTTGCAGACCTGGGAAGGAAGAGTGAGCAGTACAGGTGGGCTCTGGGGATGAAGAATTCCGGGTCTGCCCTGGCCTAGCCCCCTCAGCACCCATCAACTCTGGGGGCCTGTGTTCACCCCATCCTACATGGCCCTTCCTGGCTCCACAGGCCATCACACATCCATACTGGAACCCCACCACCTTCAACAATGACCTGACACTACTGAAGCTTGCCTCGCCAGCACGATACACATCACGCATCTCACCAGTTTGCCTGGCTTCCCCAAATGAGGTGTTGCCTTCAGGCATCACGTGTGTTACCACTGGCTGGGGCCGCCTCAGTGGCATCGGTAAGGAACTTGGGCCAAAGATCTGGGTGAGAGAGCTGGAGTGGGGACAAGCCACTTAAGGCCTAACCACCGCGTCGCCCCCCCCCCCAGGCAATAATACCCCAGCACGCCTGCAGCAGGTGGCCTTGCCCCTGGTCACTGTGAGACAGTGCCAGCAGTACTGGGGCTCCCGTATCACCGACTCCATGATCTGTGCAGGTGGCTCAGGGGCCTCCTCGTGCCAGGTGAGCATTAGCACTGTCCTGTCCTCTCTGCTGTCCTTTGCCCCCCTTCTTCCTATGCAGACTTCTCCCCTCTCCTTCCCTCAGGGTGACTCTGGAGGCCCTCTTGTCTGCCAGAAGGGGAACACATGGGTGCTCACAGGCATTGTCTCCTGGGGCACCAGCAACTGCAATGTGCGCGCACCTGCCATGTATACACGGGTGAGCAAGTTCAGCACCTGGATCAACCAGGTCACAGCCCAAAACTGAGCCTACCCACAGGCCACTTCCCTCTTAATCCAATAAAGACCCCAGACTTTGTGCTCTCGTGTTATCTCGTCTGTCCTCCTGGCTACGGGGGCGTGGGGGGGGGGGTTGTCTATCCCCACATGGACTTTATCTTCCAGCATGACAAATGTTGAGAGATCAAGATCTTTCCAGACTGGGCCCCCTACCCCTCCTCCTCCTGGGTGACCCCTTGGTCCAAGCAAGGAGCCTGGGCTGTCGGAATGGGCAGCCTTCCCTGAGAAGGGCAGTCTGTTTATTGAGTACAGAGGATACATTTACAAATTGAGTACACAAAATAAATAACTGCACATTCTCCACCCACAGTCCATGGCATGAAGGCCCCTGTCAGAGGCCCGTCTCCAAACTCCTTCTGTCCTACCTTCAGGACCAGGCTTATCCTGGGCAAAAGAGGAAATAAGTCCCAGGGCATCAGGCCCCCAGAGGCACTTGGGAAAGTCAGGGGAGTTCTGAGGCCATGGGGCTTGGGCGCTCCACTGCCTTGAGCCAGGGGCACTGGGGGCAGAAGGAGGGGGTGTATAAGGCACAATCGACTTGGCCCAGAGTGATTTCTTTGGCTTGGTATTCCACTGGAGGTGGCACATGCAGAAAGAGGGGGGCCTGGCCCATGGATACCACTGGGAGGAACTGAGTGAGGGCCAAACCCTCCCTGTTGGCAGGGGCCCTGCAGTCTAGCTAAGGCTAAAGCTGGGCCCTACCCACTGAAAGCAGCTGTGCATGGACAGGGCTTGGTTCCAGCCCAGTTTGTGGTGGGGGAAGGTACAATGACTGATGCGGGAATGGTCTGGCTCAGGTGTCTAGGAAAGCAGCCACCTAATTCCACTCACCTCCTGCAGGGGCTCCCTCCAACCTGAGATTCAGTGGGGCTCAGACTGGAAAGGTAATGCTGTGAAAGGAAGCGGGGACAGGAGGCACTGGGCAAGGCCAGCTGTGAGAAGGCCAGTGCCCCAGGCGCTCAGGGTTCAGAGGCAGATCACACAGTTTGGCTAAGTTCCAGGGGAAGCTGCGTAGAAGCTCAGCAGAGGGGGAGTGTAGAGCAGCCCAGAGACCCTCCCTCAAAGAGCAACAGCTCCTTCCTCTTCAAGGCTGAAGGGTGAGCATGGTGGTCATTCCTAGGCTGCCTATACTCATGCTAGACAGTAGATGGCGCCTTCATGCAGCCGCAGAGGAAGGAATAGCAGAGCCTAAAGGGAAAGGACCATGGGAAGTACCAAGGGTAGAACCAGAGTGGCACTGGAGCCCTGATGGGACTCTCCCTGGGAAGCCCCTGCCCTCTGCCTTGGCCAGGTGCCCCCATCCCCCAGATAGCAGCAGTGGGCTCCCTTTAATGTCCCACAGTTGGGAAGGAGGCACCTGGAGAACAGACAAGGCATCCAGGGGAGAGGGAGATAATGGTAAGCTCTGCAAAGGAGGCAGTCAGAGGCTGAGCCTAGAGCAAGCCTGCTACCCACAGGGCCACACAGCCCAGAAGGACCAAGCTCCATGCATGGCCCTACCACCGGAGATCCTGGCAAGTAATAGGGCCAGGAGTGGTCCTTGGTGCCTCCATGAAGGCAGACAGACCTTGGCTGGGAGGTGGGGCGCTGTTTAGACTTAGCCAGAGGCTGAGTGTCCAGCCAAGGCACAGGCTTTGTGCCTACCTGGACCTCTCCCTGGGGTATAATCATGAAGATCAGAATGCCATGGAATGTGGGGGGCCGGGCAGGAAGGTATGGTAGAGGAAATAACTGAGGCCCAGAAATAACTGTCCCAACGACACCGTCTACCTGGCACTGCCTGCCCTTTTGGTCTGAGGAAGAGCCAAAGGAGGAAGAAGACTGAAGGCCAAGTCCTACCCTTTCCCCAACTTGTACCATAGCAATTACCCACCAAAAGGAACATCAGTGCCAGGCCAGGCTCCAAGTTCAGGGGGCTCCCAGCTCCATTCTGTCACACTAGGCCCAGGTGATGATGGGGACTGCTGAAGGCACAGAGAAGGGGCTGGGGCCATTCACCTACCACTGGCCATACAGGCCTAACTCCAGAGAGGGCACTGGGCCCCGATGGCACAGCAGTGTGTGACAGGCTGGACCCATGCCATGTCTCTACCACTGGCAGGCAGCTCAGCCATTGTACTGCTGCTGGTAGCGCAGGTTGAGCTCCCGCAACTCCCGCTCTCGCACACGGCGTGACTTGTTGGAGCGTGTAGAGCGGCTAGAACGTGTAGACTGGGCAGATTTGGTGCTCTGGCAGCGTGAAGAGGCGCGTTTGAGGAGGTTCTGGGAGATGGAGCGGTGCAGATTCTTCATGGACGAAGAGGCTGCCATGCTCACCACCCACGGGTGCCTCAGGGCCTGCAGTGCAGTCATACGGGCGCCAGGGTCCACGGTCAGCAGGCGGTCAATGAAGTCTTTGGCCAGGTTGGATACACTGGGCCAGGGCTGGAGGCCAAAGACAAGCATTAGAGAGCACTGCCTTCCCCATCCCAACAATGCCACCTCCACAGCATTCAGACCTGTCCTGTGTATGCACTCTCCCCTCACTGCCTGGTTCCTCCCATGTAGAACATGGAGTCAGGGAGCAATGGCCTTCCCACACAGGAAGCCTGGCCCACATTTCCCTGCAGGCCTCCAATACTGAGGCCAACATGCAGGCTGACTGGACTGTGCAGTTGTTGCCACAGTAGCTTTTGGCTCAGACTTCAAGAAAGCCCCATGGCTTGTTGCTGCCACCTAAACACAAGGAGCCAATGTGAGGAGCCAGCTAATCCGAACCACAGGCACTCACTACAGCCCCTGTCACCCAATAGGGCGGCCGATGGACACAGCAAATCCAGAGCTGAACAGGTTGGGTCATGGGAATACCAGTGCTGCACTACCATCTTTTATGGTCTCCAAAGGAAGGCGTAATCACTGGGGAACACAATGTAGCTCAGCTTGGCCTGTTGGTTGGATAATCCAAGAAACAGCTGGATGCATGAGCTAGCCAAATGGGCTAACACATGAATTCTGCCCCTTGCCCCTTGGTCCAGCCAAGACAGAAGAGGGGCAACTGATAAAAGAAGAAATGGTTGCAAAGCTGGACTCACAAGTCAAGACAGAAGAGGGGCAACTGATAAAAGAAGAAATAGTTGCAAAGCTGGACTCACAAGTCAAGAACTTGAACATGGATGGATTGGAGATATTTCCACTTTACATCTACACTCAATCAAACCAAGGCCCCCTGCAGCTCTAATGCAGTCTGAGATAGGCCTCTCACCAGACCTGCCCTGTGGGCTTAAGCATCTCTATCTCCAGAGTAGCACAGGCACACACTAGGAATCGACCCCTGCTTAGTGCCAAAGTGAGTCAGATTGATTTGCCCCTCCTACTCCCCCAAACACTCGCCTCTCCAATTACTTGTGTACATAAGGCTGTGTGCAGAATGCTAATGGACTCATTTGTTTGAGGGCCACCCCAGCCCACTCGGGCAGGCCTCAGCTCTCCCCACTTTTGAGGTGCTGTGAGCAGCTGGGCCATGTGGGTACCCCGAGCCAATATGATTCAAGCGGTGCTGACCTGAAAACCAGGCTGTGCCAAAGGCACCCAGGCCTAACGCTCACACACAGAGGAGCTAGCAGTGGGAAGTCAGGCAAATGGAACACAGGAAGGTGGTCTTCACTCAGCACACTGATGACGGGTAGGGCTCAGGTTAAATTCTAGAACAGGATCGCCAGGAGCCCTGCTGAAGTCTCCAACAGGTCTCAGAAACAAAAACCAAAGCTTTCCACACGCCATGGCCATGCTTCTGGCCCTAAGTCCAATTCAGCACCTCCTAAGAAAGCGTTCAACACCTACAGACCAACCCACCTCCTTCCTCAACACGTCTGAGCCTCTGGAAACACATGAGTATGCCTGTCAGCCCATGACTGACTAGCTGGGTTGTATTATGAGCATAAGAAAAATAAAAATGGCTGAAACCGGTTTGGCTCAGTGGTAGAGTGTCAGTCTGCGGACTGAAAGGTCCCAGGTTCGATTCCGGTCAAGGGCATGTACGTTGGTTGTGGGCACATCCCCGGTGGGGGTGGGGGGGAGGGTGCAGGAGGCAGCTGGTCGATATTTCTCTCTCATCAACATTTCTAGCTCTCTATCTCTCTCCCTTCCTCTCTGTAAAAAATCAATAAAATATATTAAAAATAATAATAATAAAGAAAAATAAAAATGATTAAACAGTTATGCCCTTGGGTTTCTACAGCTCTGTTAGCTCTGGGTAATGAATAGAACTCTCACCTCAGTATACCTGGGCCCAGATCAGGGACACAGATGGGCCTCGGGTGGCTGACAAAGGGAGAGGCCCCAGGTATGACCTGGTCGGTCTCCCAGAGGCTTCCACCCATTTCTGGGCTGATATGGGAATGGGGCAGGGAAGAAAATGTTAAAATGTCAGTCTGCCTAGTCTCCAGACACTCAGGCCTCCCTCCGCTATGGGATCGAGGACAGCTATAATACCCAGATGACAGCCTACACCCTCCTTTCCACAGGTCTCTCCTGAGCTGTGTGCGTAGGGAATGGGCTCGCCTCCACCCTGGCTTTGGCCATCAAGTTGGCTGCCCTTCTCCCTCGTCCGTAGCCTCCAGAGTCCTTGTTCTCTTGCAGTCAGGGAAGCTACTACTGATACTGTCACAGCAGAGAAGTTAACAGGGGCCAAAGGAGGGACCTCTCCCATGGGCACTTCCTTATCAACTTTAGCCTCCGCAACCCCCTGCTCCTGATGGAGCCCAACTCTCCCTTCAGAGGGAGGCACCAAATCACAACGGGGTTTCCACTCCAGCTCAACTCCCCAGCCCCTTTACTTGCTCCACCTTTAATGTCACAAGGACCTGGCAAGAACATTACCCAAGGCATTCAGCAGTCTCACCTGGAGTTCAAGGGCTAAGGAAACAAAGGATGGCCTTGGCTATAGAGAGAGGAGGAAGCTTGCTGCTTCTTCCCAGCAGCAAACCCAGCTCACAGGGCTTCCCCTAAACTCCTCTGGCAGGCAGGTCTGACCATTCTCAAGCGAGGTGTGAGGAAGATCTGGGGTCTTCTCCAAATAGCTTCTGGGTGACAGATTAAAGTGTTCGGCTGCAAGCTCAGCAACCGTGTTCTAGTTCTACCCTCGATATGTGACCTTAGAGGAATCACAGCCTCCTCACTTTTAATGTGAAGGAGCTAAATGCAATGAATTCTAAGTCTCTTCCAGTTTCTAAAGTTCTGAATTTTAAGAAGATAGCTCTCCATTTTCCCCCTCCCTTGGTTGTGTGTGAGGAAAAGCAGCATGGCATCTAACATTTAAGCCGAATTGACCTCTTGTTATTTCCTTCCTTCTACTTACACTGGGCTTTTCTTGTTGCTCTTTTTCTAACTCTTTGAGTTGTCCTCCAGGTTGTTCAGTTTGTTGGAGTAGAGTTGTTCATAGTATTTTGTAACAATCCGTTGTATTTCGGTGGGGTCTGTTGTTATTTCACCTCTTTCATTTCTGATTTTGTTTATTTGGGTCCTCTCTCTTTGTTAGTCTGGCTATAGGTCCATCTATCTTGTTTATCCTTCCAAAGAACCAGCTCTTGGTTTTGTTGATCTTATGTATTGTTTCTTTGGTCTCTATGTCGTTTATCTGTGCTCTGATTTTTGTTATTCGAATTGACCTCTTGACCTGTATGGGTTCTTTTCCAGCCTATGATGACTCTGGGGGAAGTTGCCTGGCAGAGAAGGCAGCCCCACCAAAGAGCTGCTAGGGGAAGGAAGGGAAGAAAGAAGACTGGGCTTTGCTCCCATGACTCAGTTCTTCCCTCACTTTGTCTCAAAATGTATTTTCAGACTGAGCATTCCCACTCTCAAAGGCTTCCTTCCTGTACTTACGTGGGCCTAAATGAGAGCGGAGAAAAGGGCACAGAGGAAATTCTGGAAATGGAGCTTCAGGTTTACTCAAGAGAACAGAACTATTAGTATGACAGGAACAGCACACACTGATGTGGCCCATGAGGAAGTGTTTGGAAAGCTGCAGCAGAATTCGGCACTCCGTGGCAGTGGAACCAGCATCCCCTCCTCTGGTCAAGACACTCACCATTGTGGTGCCTGGGTTCCGTACCCCTGGGACCCAGCAGGGGGTGGGTGGGGGCAGAGCAGCAGAAAAGAGAAGGACATTGGGGAGGAGAGCCTGAGGGGAGAAAAAGAAGGAAGATACTAGAGTTGGGTTATTTTTAATGTTCTCATTGATTTTTAGAGAGGGGAGGGGAAGGAGAGGGATAAAGAGATAGAAACAATGAGAAAGAAACAATGGCTGCCTCCTGCACGCTTCCTACTGGGGATCGAGTTCGAAACCTGGGCATGTGTCCTAAGAGTTGAGCTGCCACCTCCTGATTTGTGGATCAAGCCACACTGTCCGGGCAATAACAGTTTTAAAAAGAGGCAGAGGCGCCGACGCCAGTTTGGCTCAGTGGTAGAGCATCGGACTGCGGACTGAAAGGTCCCGGGTTCGATTCCGGTCAAGGGCATGTACCTTGGTTGCGGGCACATCTCCGGTAGGGGGTGTGCAAGAGGCAGCTGGTCGATGTTTCTCTCTCATCGGCGTTTCTAGCTCTCTCTCTCCCTTCCTCTCTGTAAAAAATCAATAAAATATATTTTAAAAATAATAATAATAAAAAGAGGCAGAGGCTCTAGCCGGTTTTGGCTCAGTGAATAGAGCGTCGGCCTCTGGACTGAAACGTCCTAGGTTCGATTCCAGTGAGGGGTACATGCCCAGGATGCTGGCTCAATCCCCAGTAGGAGTTGTGCAGGAGGCAGCCAATCAATGATTCTCTCTCTTCACTGATGTTTCTATCTCTCTCTCTCTCTCTCCCTCTTCTTTCCTCTCTGAAATAAAAATAAATTTGAAGAAAAGAGGCAGAGAATGAAGATAAAAATAAAATGAGAAAAGGCATGAAAACTTCAAGGTTAGTAAAGCTGTATTCTGAATCTTGAGAGGAATAACAAAATGAAATATGTACCTCCACTTGTCTCGTCCTAGAGTCCACAAAGTGAAGGAAAGATGCTCTGGACTTGATGTGGAATCAGGGGGATATTGGCAACCTGTGCCAACAACCAAGAATGTCTGCTTTTAACCATGACCTGAAGTAGCCCTGGAAGGTTCTAGATTTCAGAGCCTGCTGGTTTTTTCTGTCTCCACCATGGGTTCTGCTGAGGTTTCCAAGGCCCAAAGGGGCTTTTCTTTTTTTTAACTTCTAATTCTAATTTAATTAGAATTCTAATTTCTGAGAGTTTGGAAGCCTGATGGTTATTAGCAAAGCACACACTGTGGCCTCTGCCCCCAGAGGTCTGGGCCCCTGGTACATTGGACTCAGCTCAGGGCAGGCACTTGGTCAACAGGGGGGAGCAAGATGAGTGAAGAGATAAAAGTGCCAGCTTTCTGTCCAAACCACTCTGGAGTAGGGATCAAATCCAGACACCAAACCCGCATCAGGAGATAGACAAACCAAGGCCAGGCAGGCATGCACGAGAAGAGTGACCTTGTGTGATGGGAGAACTGAGGACAGAGAGCCTGGAAAGCCACTGGGGGTAGAGGTTGGACCAGTGCTTCCATCTCAATGTGGGCAGGAGGGGAGGCCATCGACAGATTTAAGGAGGTCAGAATGTGGGAGAGAAAACAGACCCTGTAGTTCCCAAAGGAACGTGAAGGCCTACAAGTGAGAGGGCCTTTGAGAGGGCAGAGAGCTATCCAGGTGGAGACAGACAATAAGAGCAAGAGAGGGAGGGGGCAGATAGTACATTAATATCCACTCCTAACACAACCCACGATACATCCCTTTTGTTGAAGAGGCCTCGGTGGGAGCTGGAGGTGGGAAACAGCAGTGATGAAAAGCAGATTTGACCCAGGGTTAATGAGATGCTACAGATGGTCACAGCAAGGTGTTTTAGTAGATACAGCTGAATGCAGCAGTATGGAGAGATGGGCACCTATTTCTGCCACAATAGAGGTGTACTGCTCTCTGGGGAGTGTGCAAGCAGGGCAGCAGCAGCAGAGGGATGCCTAGAAGACAGGGCTCCAGGAAGCCAAGTGGTGGCCCAGAGATGACACCTGAGGGGGTTGCTGCCCCTCTCTACTCAGAGCCTGCCTCCTGCCCTCAAGAGCTGTCAGAATTACAAGATGGCTCAACTAACTGCCTTTGGACCCCAAGTAGATGGTCAGCCCAGAAACCCGCCCATAAGAAGCCACCTCCCACCAACACTTATCCCCTCAGTAGTGGCAGATCGGTCCTGCAGGTGGGCTTCCTCTCCCACTAGGATTCTGTCCTCTGCCCAGCAGCACTCACTCTCCTGAAGAGGCTCTGTGAAAACCTTTACCCAATCCCATCTGTTCCTGGTGTAGTGACCTCAGCTCGCCAACAGCTCAGAGATTGCTCAGAAGAGGGTGACAACTAAAGGTTGCTAAACACTGGGAGGCAACAAAGCTGCTAATGGCATCTGCCATCAATCCTCCAAGAGCCTCTTTAGCTGTCCTTGCTCTAGGAATAGAACTCTTGACAAAAGCAATGACATTAGGCCAGTGGCGTCACATTTCATGTCAAGTGAATCACAGAATATACGAGCAGAATGGTAAGAGTATTCTAGCATGGGTGTACAGATGACTCACTTTCCGTGTCACTCCTTTAAAAACAGCTGCTCTAGTCCTCCTGGGGCCTTCCGTGACAGGAAGCTTGTACTCTCAAGGTGGCTCCTTGTGTCTTCAGACTGATCACACAGTCACACAGGCCTTCCTCATATCTGGTTAGTGCATCTCCCCATCACTTCCACTGTGACGTTAGCTTGGCCCTCTCCACACTAGCACCTCCAGTCACAAGGTAACTATTCAAATCTCCTTTCTCAAAATAATCTGTCACAGCCTTCTCCTTCCCAGTACTCACTCCTCTCCCAAGATTCCTCTGTTTACTTCGAATAGGTCTGGCCAGCAACCCTCTAAGCACATCACCAGCAGGCTCCCCACTTCTTCCTGGAATCCAGCCTCCAGAAGAGAGCACTCCTAGCCACCACAGGCAGCCAGGTTTGCCAGTAACTTTTGGGTTCCTTCGGAGGTCATCACCAACAATCACTGGTACTTCCCTCAGGAGATGTCAGGAGAAAGTACTGAGAGCATATGTACTGATACACACACTGTCTTCAAGGGCCTCATAAGCCAAGGAAGAGAGAGATGTCCATAGACAACTCTCAGCCTGAGAAAGTGCAGAATCAGACTCTAGTAACATGCAGAGGCATGTGTCAGGGACAGAAGTCTGCAGGGATGTGAAAGCCGACCTCTGAAACCAAGATGGACTAGATTGAAACCCCAGGCCTGACACTCTCTAATTGTGAGAACGTGGACAAGTTACTTAACCTCACTAGCCTCAATTTCCTCATCTGTAAAATGGGGATGATCAAACTGACTGTTGTAGAGATTAGAGATGGTGGATGGAGAACCCTCAGTCCGGTGCCAGGTACTCAGCAGGCACTACACAATGGCAGTGGTCAGCATTACTTGGGAAGGAGGTAATGTTTGAATCGGACCTCTTCTAAGGCTGACATTGGAGCAGAGAGAAAAGCCTGAGCAAAAGCTGAGTGTGGGAGTTTGGGAGTTGAGCAAACGTCTTGGGTCTGTGGTGTATAAGGAAATGGGATAAGACATGAAGCCAGGGTTGGGGCTGAGGACCTAGACTATCAGGACTGTTAGGGATAGGGTGCTGAAGTGGACCAACTTGGTGCACTTCTCTGTTACTGGACCCCTATTACTCCAGCAGAGCAGGAAATAGAATCTCAGCCAGTCTAATGGCTATATAATAGTAGGAGCAGGAAGCCTGAGTCCATTCCGTACCGCATTCATTTGTCATTCTCCACCCTCAGATAATCAATAGCTTGTTAGCAAGACTCTGTAAGCTCCAATTAAATAAACTGCCTCATCAACAATTGCCAAAACCAGGAACTCTTCGGGAAACCTACAGACTTTTCTAGTCTTTCCTTTGTCAGCATCTCTGGGGAACTCCCCTCCCTCCATAGCTAAACTTGCTACTCCCTCTGCCAGCTGGACCCTTAGGAGCCTGACACCCACAGAGCTCCAGGGGCTAGAACTCACAGAGCACAGCAAGCTCGCAGGGCCTAGGCACCGCACTGCCTCTGTGAGGTGGATCCTGGGTTTTCCGATCCACGATGAGACCCAGCCCAGAGAGTGAGCAGGACAGTGTCCTCTGTGACCACTATATTGCAGTGTGGGCATCCCAGCCAGTTAATACTTGTTTTGTTGAATGCCACTGGGAGCAAAGAAGAAAACATGAGAAACTTTAGGGGCGATCTGGAGAATGTTCCAATTCCTTCTTTGCTTGTGGCCAGCACTCCCTTCCTCACACCACCCACACATGACCTGAATCCACCAGAGAATGCCAGCCCCCATCCACACAGAATGGAAGTCCTTGACTGACCACATGAGCATGTCTGGAAGCTGTCAGGGAGGATGATGGAGCACAGGGCCTCAAGTGCTGAAGGCAAAGTGGCATGAGGCTCTTAGGTGACTCCTGCAGGTAACGCTGCTCTGAGTCAATTGGCTGGGCCAGAGAAGGCCCAGTCTGAAACCTCTGAGAGGAAAGCTGAGCTGCAGAAGGAATCCAGTCCCAGAGCTCCCTCCCCTCAATGACATTATTCAAGAGACACGGACAGCTCCTCAGCAAGCCCAGGCCTGAGAGACACACTGGGGGGAACGCTCCGTAAGAGGCACCTGGGGATGAGCCCTACAAAGCTCATCCTACCTCCTACGTAAAGTCATAAAACAATCTTTTCTTCACACCCTCCCTGAGCACACCATATGCCTGCAGCCCTGCTTCCTGAGGTCAGCCTCATTTCCTACCAGTCAATGTCCTGCCTAAGAATGGACCGGCCCTTACTTCTGCACCTTCCTGCGGTTCTAAGCAGGGCTGAAACCCAACGGATTTCTTTCAGTTATAGTGGAGCCAAAGACACAAACTGATGGCCAGCTGTTTGAATCTGGCCAGCAGATTACCATTTGCTGACACACAAGATACGACTTAAATATATGAATTAGATTCCAAAATTAAGATCAGATTTTTCTGATTTTTCTTTCAAAAGTTGAAATATCTGGAAGTATAGGGTGCTCACTGCTTGGTGCATGGGCAGAGATGAGAAGCTGCTGCTCCTTTGTGGGGCAAAGCTGGGCAGAGATGAGAAGCAGCTGCTCCTTTAGAAAGGGCCTGGTCACTCTAGCTTGCACCAGCCCCTATGGAGCAGATACTGTGGAGGCCCTGCCCCATGTCCTATCAGCCCACCTAAGCTCACCTATAGCTGTGGTGCTCCTGTGTGTGCTAACAGCTTCCCACTGCCAGTACCTGCAGCTCTCTGCTTCTTTGCCTGAGGACTTTCTCTGACACGAGCTGGCATTCAGGACAGCCCAGAAGTGCTGGGGATTTAAAACCCCCAAAGATATTATTGACTCATTCAGGGTCAATGAATTAAAAACCACTCACTTCCCTGCCCCTCAAGGGTACAATTGAGACACATCCCACATGATTATTGACAGTCCCCAGTGGGACTGAGCTCCAGTGGACCACAGAGGCAGTCCTCTCCTTTAATGTACTCTTTATCGGCTCTTTCCCTTTCTGCCTCTTTTCCCCACCCTTCACTTATGCTTACTGGAATCACATCCCAATTAAATGAACTGCTCCCAAGTCCTTGCCTCTGGGTTCATTTTGGGGGGAAACCAAATTCACACACCCTACTAGTCTTATTTCATCATTTTCCCATCAGAGCACATTCTTCTGATGGAAAGCTGAAGGGCAGAACCCCTCCCACACCCATGGGCCTCCCAACATCGGAAGGACAGGGCAGACTCACCTCCCCCGAGTAACTGTACTTGCCCCTGAGAATCTGCCGGTACAGCCGGGTGCGGTTATCATCTTCAAAGGGCATGGTGCCACTGAGCAGGATGTAGGCAATGACACCCAGGGCCCACATGTCCACGGAGTTGGTGTAGGGCTTTCGAACCAGGACCTCGGGGGCAATGTACTCGGGCGTGCCACAGGTAGTCTTCATCAGGCAGTCGTCACCTTTCTTGCGAGCACTGGCCAGGCCAAAGTCAGTGATGATGATCTTGGAGTCAGTGCCCGGGTGGTAGTAGAGCAGATTCTCAGGCTTGAGGTCCCGGTGCGTGATGCCCAGTGCGTGCAGATACCGGACGCCGTCCAGCACCATTTGCAGCACCCGTGTGGCGTCACGCTCGGTGAAAGAACCCTTGGCAATGATGCGGTCAAAGAGCTCTCCACCAGTAGCCAGCTCCATCACCATGTACACACGCTCCTGCGTCTCAAACACCTCCACCAGCTGGATGATGTTGGCATGGCGCACCCGGCGCAGCACACGCAGCTCCGACTCACACACCTCCCGCCCCTCCCGGTATTTGGTCTCAATCATCTTGATGGCATATGGCTGCCGGGTTGCTCGGTGTTCCACGCGTACCACTCGGCTGAAGCTGCCTCGGCCAATCAGGGCTTTGATGTCATACTTGGCCGTCACACGTGGGTCGAACTTGGCCCTGTACTTAGCCACCCTGGCCTTGCGTGGTGGTTCTGAAGGAGGCTCTGTGTAGCCGGTCGTGGGGGCACCCGGGCAGGGGTTGGCACACTGACTGGCTACTGGGATTCCAGCTTTGAGAGGGCCAACACTGTCCACCTCTGTGATGAAGTGCTTATATGCATCGCTCTTAGTGCCACTGAAGGGCTCCACCTTCTTGACCAGATCCAGCTGGACATCCTTGGGCGGCTCAGGAAGGACCTTGCTTGTCCCACAGCCCATCACGGACACGGGGGCATCCTCTCCAGCGAGGCTGGCAGGACCTGCTCTGCAGGCAGTGCCCCGTCTACACCTATGCAGACAGAAGAGAGGACAACTCAGTATCGCTGGGGGCATCTCTGAAGGTCTACCAGCCATCCACCTCCTGCCTACTCCTGTCCCTCGATAACTCTAGCCTGAAGACCTGGCTCTAATACGGTTTCCTGGAAAGGAGGATGGCTTTGGTACCTAAGTGCTCAAAGCCCAGGCTCAATGGAGGGTCTTGATGAAATACTAGATCGGAGCATCATGATCTTGATTTACATCTCCTGGATCTGATTCTCACAGTGCTCTTCAAACCTGAGAGAGGGCAGGAACATGCACAGGCTATTGTTACTGCCCCCACCTTCCTCCTTCCTCTGCCTGAGTTCCTTATCCTAGTTTAAGTTCTATATATATGTATATGTATATGTATATGTATGTATATGTATGTGTATATGTATATATGTATGTATATGTATACATGTGTATATATGTATACACACACACACTTATTCATAATATTTATTCACAGAGGTAGAAAAAGTTAATTCTAAGAAGAAATGGGCTTAGGAAATACGTTATGGAGGTAAAGGAAGGGCCTTTGGGACTTGGGAGTGAGGCAACTAATGGTAACATGCCTAGAAAGATGGGGAGGGGAGGAGTGAGGGAAAGACAAGCAGTCTTGTTTTCTTAATCATTCCTCTTATTATTCTGACTTATCTTTCCTGAAATGGGGGTGTAGAATGTTAGAGGCCTACTCTCCAACACTATGACCTACCAGGGCTCAGAAAGCTGCTTTTCCAAGGCCTCCTTCATGTATATCTTTCCGGGCCCTCTATGCCTCCTGCAGGCATGATCCCCCTGCAAGCACCACCCACTGCCCTGGGTCTCTGACCTACTAACCTCACTCTTTCCTGGACAGCTCCCAGTACTCTGCTGATGCACCATCTTCGTCCTGACAGTGTTTCGGGGTCACTCACTTCCCCAGTCACCACATTGATGGCTAAAATGCCACATTAAGTTCTAAAGCTGGCTGAAATCTATCCCAGTGAACTCGAGACAACAAGCCTTAGCACACTGCCATCAGGTAGCCACCAAACAGGGCATCATTCAAGAGGCAAAGGGAGCCTTGAGCTCAGAAAGAACACTAGCAGCTTCATCTAGATGTGACTCAGGCTGTGGAGGACGTGCTCTGCTTCCTTGGGATGAGAGGATCGGGAGCCCTCCTCATTTGTTTCCCAGACAGAGATGTTCTGATCTCTTAGTACCCTATGGCTGGTGGGACCCCGGACAAGGTGAAGTGCAGAAATACTAAAAGGACCAGAGAGGGAACAGTGGCCCAGACAGTGGGGTGAATGGAAAGTTGTCAGCAGAAGTGATAGGGACTGGAGGCTGGACATAAGGGGTGAAAGGGTGGAGTGAGGGCAGTATTGCAGTCTCTTATTCAAGGCTCCTGAGCAAAAGAGTCAGGAGTGCAGTAAGAGGGACAGGTTTAGTAAGCAGTGAGAAGAGTTCAGTTTTTGATGTGTGCAGTGCATGAGGAACATCCATGTGACATTTACTGCAGGCCAGGCACCACATATTACATTTTATTAAAGTTATTAAAAAAAATAAAAATAAAAAAATATATATATATGTAGAAATGTATAGACTAATAAATGCATAAGTTTAAAAAGCTGAGGAAACATACACCAAATTATTAGTGTTTGTGTCTAAAGACACAGCCCCGCCTGTGTGGTTCAGTGGTTGAGTGTTGACCTATGAACCAGGAGGCCACAGTTCAAAGCAGAGCACATGCCTGGGTTGTGGGCTAGATCCCTAAGAGGCAGCCGATCAATGATTCTCTCTCATCGTTGATGTTTCTATCTCTTTCTCCCAGTCCCTTCCTCTCTTTGAAATTAATTTAAAAATAAACTAATTAATTTAATTACATCAAAAAGAAGGGAGCCATAGTTTGTGCTCTCAAGGAACTTACAGTCTAGATGGTTCCACACCAAAAGTTCCTTAGTCCATTGCCCAGTGAGGCCACTTAAAGGCTGGCAGCCTGGAAGGGATCCCTCTGAGATCATTTCCTCCCAGCAAATGAAAACACCACATTTTTCTACTTTAGCATCACGTTAGACACCATGGCAACAGAGGGCTATACCAAGAATTAGCTCAGTGATGACCTAGCCAACACAAATCAGCTTAATACTCACTGAGTATGATTCTTGGAAGGAAAAGAAGTTCAAATAACTAAGTCTCTCTCCAGCTCTCAAAAAACAGAACTGCTTCCCTTCTTCCATGGCTGTATTTCTCAAATTTTTCTCTGTGTACCCTGGGTTCAACAGAGACAGATGTTCCCAGCTATCTCCAAAATGAAGAGTCAATGTTTTTGGAACATCTATTGCCCGTTTACATCATAAAGTCGGGTAGTTCTGAAGAGGATTGAAGGTGCCCACATAACATGTTCAGATTTATAAAGTAAAATAGGAAGCCAAACGAAAGTCTCATCGATGTATGTGACTGACAAAGAACCCCAGTATCTAGTTCAGATTCCACACCACATGTGTCAAACACAAGGCCCGCGGGCCAAATCCGTCCCGCCAGGCCTTGCAATGTGGCCCGCACCGTGCTGTCATCACTGCACTCCGCTGCGTTTCCATCACAATGACAGTTTATGACTGTTCAGTAAACCATTCGGCCCGCGATTTAGGCTGGATTTTAGATTTTGGCCCCTTCTCTGATTGAGTTCGACACCCCTAACATAGACTAAGATCTGCAGGGGTATTCCATTCCAGGTGAGGGGCAACTCTAGTTCAGTGTCAGAAGCAAATAGATTTCCTGAAAGCTGCCCGTTCTCTAGCCCATTAATACAACTTAACAAGTGCAAGAACTGCAATTAGATCCGGACAATGTGCTTATTTAGCAAACCCTCCCTCTAGTGAGTCAGCACTCCTAATCTCTCCTGGGGGAAGAGCCAACACAACTGCCCTGAGTAGCAGCAGTTTTGTCAGAGTTTTCCCCAATGACCAGAGCTGAGGATGTCACACAACACAGGCAGCTTCCTACAGGAGGATCAGTCTGAAGAGCAAACAGGCTTACTAAGAGGAGATCTTAGTTAACAAGGGACATATTCCGGGAAGAACAGTCATTAGTGAATACAGTGGCTTCCATTTGCTGAGTTCCTACTGTGAGAAGCACCTCACATGCACTCTCACTCCTCTCTGCAACTACATAAAGTAGTGATGATCATTCCTATCTTGGAATGAGCAAACTAGGACGCAGCGAGTCTCAAGATTTCATAAAAGCCAAGAACTGACTCTCAGTCTTTCTGATTCCAAAGCTCTTATGTCTAATCATGAAATCATACTGCTTCCCCAAGGCATGGGCAAGACAATGAGACTGCAACGGGAGGCCACAAGGCACAGCTAGTCTGGAGACAACGACAAAGGTCTCCAACCAGGAAGCACGGGTAAAGCCACCTGGGATATTTTTTCAAAATACTATATATCCAGATACCAGATCTTCTGAATCAGTCTCAGAGAGTGACACTCTGAATTTGTATTCTGAAAAACTACTTTAGACTATCAAAGTTGAGAAGGCTGCACCACATACCATACACATATGCATGCATGTATGCATGCATGTGCAAACACGAAACACTGGTGAGCTGTGTTCATCTCAGATGCTGGGCCCTGATAGGTGCTCAATGGTACAGCTGAATCAGTATCCATTCTTAAACCAACAATCTATCCCAGTGGATTTAGTTTCTACTGTTATGTCAGGCAGAGCCAGATACTCAGGTACAGATACACAATCCTCAAACTCACTATCACGTGACACAACATGATCTAGTCAACAGCAGTCCAATGAATAAAAGTACGGAGGAGTCGCCAAAACCGGTTTGGTTCAGTGGATAGAGCGTCGCCCTGCAGACTGAAGGGTCCCAGGTTCGATTCCAGTCAAGGGCAATGTACCTTGGTTGTGGGCACATCCCCGGTGGGGGGTGTGCAGGAGGCAGTTGATTGATGATTCTCTCTTATCGATGTTTCTAACTCTCTATTCCTCTCTCTTCCTCTCTGTAAAAAATCAATAAAATAAAAAAATAAAAAATAAAAAGTACGGAGGAGTCAATGGTTACTTGTGAAGGGAGGGTTTTCCAAGGAAATGAAATCGAAGGTGAATTTTAAAGGACCGATGTAAATTTTCCATACGGGTGGGAAAAAAGGTTAGAGTATTACAAAAGAGTAAATCGGGTCTCTAAAGCACAAGGGTGTTAAACCACAGAGCTAACAGAAGGCATTCACGCCCCAACAACAACGTATGTACTAGTCAACAGAAGGCAGAAATGCACAGGTGTTGACTTCAGAGTTAAGCCTCTCAGATTATGAAGAGCCCTGAATGCCTTCCTGTAGGCATCAAGGAGCCAGATTTCGGCAGTAAAGGGCTTACTCAGGTGAGAAGTAATCACTTCAGCGGCTTCATTTAGTGGGAGTGAGCATGGAGTTTGGGGGAAGGTACGGCTGGCTGGCTGGCTTATGGGGCAGGCGACCTGGCTGGACTCAGGCCTGCTTTTTTCCCAAAGTGAAAAAAGGAAGCGACCAGCTGCCCGCCAGCCCCTGGCGTTCAGTCGCAAAGAAAGGGTGTGGAGCAGATGCTGGACACGAGAAGGGAGTAAGGACAACCGGGTTACTAGTTCACCGTGACCGACGCCGGCTGGGCCACTGACCACGTCCACCAGGCCCACGAGGCCCCAGAGAAAGGCTACCCAGCGCAATAGCATATTTCAAGGCCACTCTAATCTCCGACTCCGGGGACCCCGAGCAGCCGTCGCCTGGCCTGCTCCCCAGCCCCGTAGGCCCCGGCACACCTGGCACGGGCCGGGCCGAGGGCTCCAGTCTGGGCAGAGACAGGCCCGGTGCGCCTGGAGGCGGCCGTGGCCGCAGCTCGTCAGCCCCTCCCGCCCGTTGGGCCGTAGCCCTGGGCCGGGCCGCCTCACCTCGCGGGGGCGGCGGGCTCTTCGGTGTCTTGGCGGCTGTGCTAACCCTCTCGGGGCCGCGGCCACGGCCGCCGCCGCCGCCGCCATCCTCAGGCGTTAGCGTCGTAGCGTCATCACCGAGCGCGCCTGACGCCAAAACAAACCCGGGCGGCCTATGGGGCGGGGCGGGGGCGGGGCCTCGCGAGGGCCGGCTACGCGGTTGGGGGGCGCTCCGAGCGCGGACTGCCAATCAACGCCGTCAGGGCCTGGACGGTCTCTGTAGGGGCAAGGGATGTCTCACTGTGGGGTTCAAAGGAGTTCCTCTGCAGGCTGGCTGCAAGAGAGGAACCTGTTATAGCAAAATAGGTACATCTGGAACTAATATAAATTAGTATTTAATGTCAACTATAACTGAAATATTAAAAAGATTAATTAAAAAGATAATAGCAAAGGAAAAGGAGGAACTGAGTAGAAAGAAAGTTTCAAGTTTCTGGTTAGGGAGGAGGGTGCTGTCTTACAGGGTTGGGGACATAATGCGTTTCAACAGGTTTCTGGAAGTGCCGCTGGAACTCCGAAAAGGATCAATTTAAATTATATTAAATCTATTTATTTTTTTTTGAAAACTGCAGTGAAAATATATTAGGCATTCGGATGTATTAAATTTGGCCTCCATCTCAGAGGAGTTGAAAATGGCAAACTTGAGGATTGGTCTTTAGTCTTGGACCAATTTAGGAGTAACCTTTTTTTTTTTTTCTTCCATTCTGGTTGTTACTGAATTTAAGTGAATGCTAAGACTGCAAAGCAAGAAGATATATTTTTAAAAATATATTTTATTGATTTTTTACAGAGGAGAGAGGGATAGAGAGCTAGAAACGTCAATGAGAAACATCGACCAGCTGCCTCTTGCACACCCCCTACCGGGGATGTGCCCGCAACCAAGGTACATGCCCTTGACCGGAATCGAACCAGGGACCTTTCAGTCCGCAGACCGACGACGCTCTACCACTGAGCCAAACCGGTTTCGGCAAAAAGATATTTTTTTTAAATCTTGTTACTATTCACAATTTCTCTATAGGATCGGAATTGTTTAATTGTTTCACTACTTTACAAACAACCAAAGTTACAGAGGGCTGGGGAATAGATGCTGCAGGTAATAAAAAGATTGTAATCTCCACCCATCTTCCTAATTTCAGTCTGTTCATTTATTAACAAGTCTTTGTTTAATGAACACTTCGCACATGGAACTGTTTCTAATGAACTACATAAACCAGCAATTTTCTCTTTAAAAAAATATTTTTATTGATTTCAGAGAGGAAGGGATAGGGAGAGAAAAACATCAATGATGAGAGTCATTGACAGGCTGCCTCCCGCACACCCCACATTGGGGATCAATCCCGAAACCCGGGCATGTGCCCTGACAGGAATTGAACCGAGACCTCCTGGTTCATAGGTCGATGCTCAACCGCTGGACAAGCCAGCAATTTTCAACCAGTGTGCTACAAGAATTTTTAAAACATGCAATACCTGACTATTTAGCCAGGGGCACTAACCTCTTTACCCTTAGATTGTCAAAAAAAAATGACAACAGCCAACACAATAGCTATCTGATATGAATGAAATTTTTAATTTTTAAAATTGATTTCAAAAGGAAGAGAGAGATAAAAACATCAATGATGAAAGAGAATCATTAAATAGCTGCCTTCTGTACACTTCCAGGAATGGAGCCTAAAATCCAAGCATGTGTCCTGACCTGGAATTGAGCCATGATCTTCTGGTTCCTAGGTAGACGCTCAACCACTAAGCCACACTTAACCAGGCAATAATAATTTTTTTGTCAGAATGGCAAAAAATATATTTTTTGGTGTGCTGAAGAATTTTAGTAATTAGATTGTGTCATGGGATGAAAGGTTGAAAATCACTGATATAAGCTAATGTTATACTTTAAACCTAAAAGTGAATTAACACTAATAAATATCATTTTGTCTGTTTTATTTAGTAGGGAATTATGAATTTTTTTTGTTAATCCTCACCGAAGGATATTTTTTTAATATATTTTATTGATTTTTTACAGAGAGGAAGGAGAGGGATAGAGAGTCAGAAACATCGATAAGAGAGAAACATCAATCAGCTGCCTCCTGCATACCCCCACTGAGGATATGCCCACAACCAAGGTACATACCCCTGACTGGAATTGAACCCGGGACCCTTCAGTCTGCAGGCCGATGCTGTATCCACTGAGTCAAACTGGTTTGTCCAAGGATACTTTTTAAATTAATTTTTATTGAATGGAAAGGAGAGGGAGAGACAGAGAGAGAAATATGGATGTAAGACACATCAACTGGTTGCCAGTGATAGAGCTTGCAACTGGGGTGTGTGCTCTTGACTGGAATCAAACCCGCAACCCTTCAGTTAGCAGGCTGATGTTCTAACCACTAGGGCTGTTCGCTGTCTGCAGAACTGAAAAAGGGAAAAACACTGCCCCCATGGTGCTCTGGCCTGGGCAGCTGTATCCAGGGTCCAGTCTATATGACTATCAGCTTACCCCTCTCCTCCAGCTTCGGGATAAAATATACAAAGCTCTTAAGCCCCTAGCCAGAGAGCAGATTCTGTCCCCACCACCAAATCCATACACACACTCCAGGTCACTCAATTCCAGGGACGAGCAAGGATTTAGGGAGCAAACACCAGGCAAAAGTAGGTCACAGCAGGAGGATGGTAATCTCTGCTGTGGCTGGCCAGAGCAGTCAGCCCCTGCTATCAAGAGTAACTCTGGGAAGACTTTTGGGGTCTGGAGCCCCAGCACCATCCCTTCTGACAGTATGCCCAGACATTCTCAGCCCAAGAGCTTGCTGACTGTAACACTTCCTATGCTGGACTTAAGAGATTCTATCTTTCATTCCACACCTCCCACAAGTATATTCTCCCCTTCCCCCTCCCCCCATAATTATATTCTTTATACCCAGCCCTAGATCAGGTAGTAGAGATACAAAGAGGACCCTTGGGGAGTACATAGACAGGAATGCTGACCCAGACCCAGACAGTAATAAGCTAGCACTATCAGTACTGAGAAAGACGAGAGCCGCGAGCTGTGTGGACCTGCAGGAGGCTGCTGATTCAGCTTGGAATCAGAGCAGAAGTATTTCCTGGAGGAGGTGATAATGAACCAGAAAGAAGTTCACCAGGAGAAAATGGGGAAGGGTAGAGATAATATTGTAGATGTACAAAGACCCAGAGGAACAAAAGTATGGTCTTTCCTTCTGGAAAATGCTGGTGGTCAAAAAGGGGCAGATCTGGGAGTGTTGTTTTTCTGAACTTTCTCCTTCAGGTGATAGAAGATGGGTAGTGCTGGTGGAGAGAGACGTGGGGATAAAAGTACAGGCAAATGAAGCACAGGAGCCAAGATGGGGCAGAGAGGGAATTAATGGAAGCACCTCACCTAATCGGCATGGGATGGTATTTGGGAAGCATGGATTGAAGAAGGACTCCTACATATGTGGGTGGAGGTCTCTAGAAGCACTTGTCACTCTGGAGCCTCTGCAAGGGTCCTCTCAGGCCTGATTCTGTCCTGAGGCACAGCCTCTCAGGACAGGCTTTAGTGTAAATCTGGCCTGCCTTCATATGGGTTCCCACCCCTCTCTCTCTCCCTCACAACTGATTCTTTTGGGCCACTCTTGTAATGCCCTCTCCAAATCAGCCCCGCCTCTCCTCCACCACTTGTCAGCCTCCATCCTTACCTCCTATTGCCCCTATCATGCTCATTCTCTGAAGCCTCCCCTGACCCCAGGGACTGGATAGGTAGATCACGCCTCTCCTCTGTGCTGCTGCCAAGGGGAGTTGAGTAGACAGATAAATTGTGGGCAGAGCTGGCTTATATAGAGCCTCCTAGACAATGAGAAGGAGCTTAACAGCAGAATCGGTTTTTCAATATAGAAAATGGGAAATAAAGCAGAGGGAGGGAGTAGAAGCCAGTGAAGCCATGCAGTGCCCACTGTGGGGGGGGGGGGGGGGTTGAAATAGGGTTTGGTGCTGGTGGTAGGAGACTGAACAGAGGAGGCTCTCACTCTCTCTGAGCCCCCTCCTTCCCTCAGAATGTGCCCATGCCTGCTCTTCCCCTCACTCCCATTCCATGCTTCCAGAATGCCTTCTGGGATTGTTTGGATTTCACGCTGCACACCTCTTCTCAGAGAAGAAGCTTGTGGAGAGCAGAGGCCAGGGGAACCCTTGTTGGGACTCCAGTCTCAGCCGCTCCAGGTCACCTTGGGGAACTGAATGTAAATTCCAACAGGGACGCCCCACCTTCTGAAACACACCCCCCTCAGATGGACACGACCCCAGAGAGGAAGAGAACAGAGCATTTCCTTTGAGTTGTCTTAAAGGCTAAGGTGTCAGTTCAGCAGAGGAGGGGATGAGGTGGTCAGGAGTCTGGAGGCTAGCATGAAGCAGGGGTGCGGGGGGACGGCCATAGTGGGGAGTAGGGTGAGACACTCCACCATCTCACAGGTTCCCTAGGGGCCAGGTAGGGCTAGGAATACCAACCTGGGAAGAAAGACCACGAGAGGTCCTGGAACCTGCACGTAATGGAAAGCTCAGCACTGCTCCCTGGGAAATGAGTGTTTGCAAGGAGAAAGATGGAGTCCCCTGTGGCAGCCTTGGGCCCTGCCCACTCTGTCTTGGGAATCAGCTTCTGGAGGCCTCCGTCTCAGTCAGGCAGTGAGCAGCCAGAAGAAAGGAAGGAGCTCAGTACAAATATAAATACCTTTAATGAAAGCTGAATGCACCTTACAGAGCTTCGAGGACAGCCATCAGAGCTGGGGTAGCAGCGGGGGCACTGCTACTTGACCCCAATGGCTAGGCCAGAGGCCCCAGGAGGCAAAAAAATGCCAGAGCCGCCGCCAGCAGCAGGGGTGCAGGGGCTGGGGTTAGGGCAGGTGCTGTCCCCCTCAGTGTCTCCTGGTTGGTCTCGGGGCCTGCACCATGCTCCCAGACGCGCACAGGGCCGCCACACAGAGTGTGCAAGTTATCTGGGTGTGGGGTCCGACGAGCTTCTTGCTGTAGTGACTCCCACACAGCAGCCGCCTCCTTCGGGCAACCTGACAGAACTTGAGAGGCGCAGATGTGGAAGTCATTCCAAGACCTGTTCAGGGCATGGGATTAGGGGAGTTAGGT